ATCAAAATCTTCTTCATTTAACTCTTGTACTAATTTAATTTTATATGGATAAAACTTAAATTTATGGAGGACTCGGAAGGCTGAAGAAGATGAAACACCGGTTGCTCTGCTTATTGTTGACAGTGACTGTGATTGTTAACAGTCTAAGTTAACTTGCCCTAAAACAGCTACTTGGATTGCTTTTTTATTTACAAGTTCCTGTCGGTTATGTTTTTTATTGCAAACTGACCCTCTTGCTCTAATTTTTTCTGCATCAGTTCAATCACACACTTATGAGTTGCATGTCTATTGTGGTGTGTTTCATTAAAAATTCTAGCAGCAGCTCAGCAGCTCTTGCACAATTATTATTTTTGTAGTATTGTTATATATTTATATAGTTCGAATTTATATGTCTTTATTCTAATTTATTGTCTATAATCTAATTTATTAAAACTCACGATAGCTAATTACTAATTTATTAAATAACTTTACAAATGTATTTATTTCACGTTTCGTACAAGTAAACCGCGTTTACCGATCTTCTTATGACTGACCCTTCAATAAAATTTCGTCCTTATATAAAGAACCGCAAGACCGCCTAGACCTGACCTGACCATTGTCGAAAATACTGGAATGATCTCGTATTTTGGTGAAGGCGCTCGACTCGTTTTTCAACCTCGAATGAACTGGAACGGGGTTTTTATAGCGGCTCGGCTGATTTTCGTCAGGTAGGTATACCTAGAACATTCATGAATAAATAAAAACATATTAGTAAAATATATTTACGATTTTGGGTCAGAATTTATCGTAACAGTATAAACCTGCAATTTCGATTCTTTCTTGCAAAGTGTACACCATTTCAGCGATCAAATTGCACACGAATCAAAATAAGCTGTTACTTACAAGTTATAACAAATTGTCGCTATTAACCGATTAAAACAAATGTAAAAATGATATCGAAAACCTTTGATAAAACTTTAATAAAAAGTGAATTTTTTTGTTTCTTGGCTTTTAAAGGTACTACAAATATATACGGTTAAATATTTAAAGAATTTAAATTATGCAACAACCTGTCTTGTTAACAGGAAAATTGTCTATCTGATAAACTAATCACTTCAAGCCAAAGGTAATATACATTTTTGAAATCAGAACAAGAAGGAGAATCCAAATATAAAACAAAAAAGGGGAAAGTAATTTAAAAAAAATAAAGGGTTGATACAGGGAGTGAGAGGGTGCATTTTCCAGCAACCATTAATATGTTATTATGTCTCCCCCTTCAGATATTAATTGACGTGTTTTTGCGTTTTTCCAAAAAATTAGAGGTTCAAAAGTTATTTAAGGTGGATAGTTTTATCTGAAAAGCACTGTATATAATAATAATTTTATTTTTGTTCGATTTTCCTTCACCTAAACATATTTGTAATTTTTTTGCATTTAAACTTGGGAATCACCTTTTTCGAGTTCATGTTTTCATTTTGCTATGTTGTCTTTTTTTGGTCTTGAACAAAATATTCATTGAAGATAATGGTATACAGCTAAATCACTATAAGATTTTAATCCCTCAATTAATGATTTTGTTCAAAATGACTGGATAGATTAGTTCTGATAGTATGTTATAAGTTTTCCATTGAATTCTACTATACATCATTGAGGATGTTTTTTTTTATTATTTAGAAACTCGCATCAGTCCACATATATGGCTATTAGCGAAAAAAATTACCTTCCATGGAATAATACAATAATCAAATTTTGTATAAACAGTTTATTGTTTTTAGATATTTAATAATCACTTGGGCACCACACTTTAAGAATAGTTCTTTCAAATTCTCCGGTATTCCTAAATCTGCTTTTTGCCTGTTTTTTGTGCCATTTGCTATTTCCTATGTTAACTATTTTGCTGTGTAAATACGATCTAAGATCTGTCGCTGGAGTTTTTAGATAGATCTCAATAGATCTCCAAGATCACATATGGCAGCCACAAGTACACAATGTTTTTGTGATCTAGCTTGTGCAATTCTTAGGACTGGCGAATTACGAGGTCAATCTAAAAGATTTATCTTCTTACTGTTGAAAAATTCCTTCATTTGCTTTGACTTGTGACACGGAGCAGAGTCCTGATTAAGAATTGCTCTTAGGAGGAGCCTTCTAAAATTCATATTTTTGCTTTAACTCTTTGAAGTACACTAGTACATTTTTGTACCACTAAAAATGAAATGTACCACTCTACTGAACCACTTAATAAACATGTTTAAAACACGTGCCAGAAATATTTCCCATAAATTTGTGTCTAGATATCAGTTGCAATTTTAACAACTTCTAAGGCACGTTTCTGTAAAACAAATTTTTACATCGTGATTTTCTTATTAAAAAGTAAGTACTGTTTGTTGTTTATTATATTACTTTAGATAAGTAGTGTATTTCTTTAATCACTGGAATATAAAACAATACTATTTTTTATACAAACTTTATATTTTTGAATATATACGCCAATCCAAAATATGTACGAACGTGGAGCTAACGTTTTTCCTTTGTTGGAATAAATGGCGTCCAGTAATAATAGGAGGGAGCCGTTACCTTTCAGGTTAGTAGGGATGATAGAGGAAGAATGGTACCGGGAGTTTGAGGAAATTCCTAGTGATCAAGAATCAGAAATTTATGATGATTCAGGTGAAGACGCAAAGTTTGAACCACCGAGTAATGAGTTTGTACTAAATATTGACGATGTATCTAGTGAGGAAGATGAGTTGAGTAATGAAGATGTTTCTTTGCCGACGAATTTGTCGGCAGGCGGAAACGATTATGTCAGGAATTGTTACAAAAAGAAGACATCTTGCTTACCCCTTACAGTTTTTTCAATCAATTGATATTTGATATCTGATGATATTTTAGATAAAATTACTTTTCAAACCAACCTGTATGTGGAACAAGAATTTCAAATAAATCAAAAGAAATATCGTGAAGGAAATAAAAGTATTTATTGGTCTAAATCTGCTAATGGGCACAAAACCACTCCCAAGTTATAGAGATTATTGGAGTGTAAATAAAGATCTTCATGATGACTATATCTGGAAATTGTAATAAATCATATTTCTTTATATTTCTTAGAATCCTTTGAAAAATTGCTGGCGAGGTCTTTAAGCCAAATGGGAGACATTTCCATTGATAATGATTTTCTTGAGTTATGAATCCTATTTTTGATCTATCTTGAATTCTTAGAGGTATGGACCAAAAAGCACAGTTTGTCTAGAGTTGTTAAATATTTATAATCTATAATCTGAACCATAAAGTCTCCTATTAAAGGAACAGGTTGACATTGAGGAACTATTATCTTATTTAGGTCTCTAAAGTCGATACATAGTCGATTTCTTTTTCCTTCATCTCTTTTTAATGCCAGAGTCGCTGGTGCTGCAAAAGTGCTGTATGATTCCTCAATCAAATTATGTGTTAATAATGCTGCAATTTGTTTTTCTATCTCCATTCTATCTTCTATTGAACATATGTATGGTCTTTACACAAGTTATAGGGATTATTGGGCTGTGCATAAAGTACACATCTTCATGGTGACTATATCTGTAAATTCATGCCTGTAAATAGATAGCTGCTATAAGTCATACTCATCTAAATGGCAACAACCAATGCCAAAAAAAGGAGAGAATGAATATGATAAGCTGTATAAAGTCCGACCTTTCCTCAATGAAGTAAAGAATAATTTTCAAAAACACTACAAACCAACAGCATATAGCTATCGATAAATCTGTGATAAAGTACAAAGGTAGAAGTGTATTGAAACAGTATATGCCCAAAAAACCAATACAACGGGCTAAAAGATTTGGACACTAGCTGATAAAAAGGGTTATCTATATAATTTTGATGTTTATACAGGCAAAACAGACGACAGTCACCCTTTCTTTGCTCCCAATTTCTATCATTTTCTGTCATATGCAGTTGCCTCTTCTAAGTCTCTTGCCACTATTGCTTCATCAATATCATCGCGCCAACTTGTCCGTGGTCGTCCTCTCTTTCTTCTTTCAGAAGGGATTCATTCCAGTACTCTTCTAGTCCATCTGTACTCTGGTATTCTTTTTTTAACATGTCCGAACCAGCACCATGTTTTCGCTCCATTTTCATTTCGTTTCTTATTTGATCATTTATAACTCTCTCCATTTTCGATCTACCACAGCTTCGTCTCAGATAATCCATTTCTGTCGTCATAAGTTTGTTTCTATTAGCTTTGGTGACGTCCCATACTTCCGAACCATAAAGTGTAATATTTTGGACTATACTACCGTAAATGGGTTTTTTGGTTTCTCGTCGAATTGTTTTTTGCCAGAGAAGAGAGTTTAAGGCACGAGTCGCTGCTCTGCCTTTGTTTATTTTTCCCTGATTTCATCTGCGCTATTTCCCTTCTTGTTGAAAATGACCCCCAAATATTTGCAGGATTGCACGCCTTTGATTTTGTCGCTTTCCAAGACTAGGTCACATATTTCATTTGTTCCCACTAAGAGATATTCATATTTTGTCATATTCATGTTTAGACCTGCCACCTCATATTCTTCTTGCAGTTTTCTTATCATATAGCTAATAGCTAAGATCGTAGCTATCTTCGGCAATTACTACCTGGTCATCCACAAAGAAAAGTGTATATAGCGTGGTGCAAAACCACCAACCACTCAGAGCTTCCTCTGAGTATTGGTTTTGCATTTCTGTGATTGAATGACGTAAATCCCGAAGATTATGTACCAATTTAAGCTAGCCCAAAAAAATTTTGTTTCATTAATTATTAATTCAAAATATAAGTAAAATAAATATAAGTATAATTTTTTTATAAACAAATACCTAAAGAAAGAAGTAAAAACAAAACAATATATATTTGAATTAAAATTGAATTTTTCTTTCAGATTTTATCATTTGCAAAAGTGACCAAAATGACAGTAGCGTACCTTGTGGCATCAATACCGGTTTTACCATTTTATCTACTATTTATATTAATATTCTTCATTTTCAAACAAATAATATTCGTGATGCTACGATACAAATACGGCACTCGTCTAGTGGAGCTGAATCATTCAGATACTTATTATTGTGTTGGAAAAGAAACAGACAACTGTACAATTCATTTCTTGATTCTAAATTCAGATCTGACAGAAGAAGACATGGCTAAAAAGATTGTCAACTGCGTCGATACGAAGCTTGTCCAGAATTCGAAGCAAATTAAAAATTTGTTCACATCATTGAACAGTACGATGGGTTACAATTATCTTCTATCTGAAGAAGCTGTTGCCAAGAATCACGTGAGTTTACTTGATGTCCAGAAAAGAGGATGGACCACCATAAACCAGTTAGCATACGATTACAGTAATGAGCCCTTACCACTGAACAAGTACCTGTGGGAGTTGGTTGTGATTAAAGCCAGTGACGAATGGAAAATAAAAAACGGTTTCAAAAAAGGCCAAGTGATTCTTTTTACCAGACTACACCACGCTATCGGCGATGGTTTATCAGCAATGAATCTACTGTGCAGACTTCTAGGTACCAGCGACACATTTGACAATTTTGTTAAAACGATGTCCAAAAATATTAAACCCAAAAATTGCGTCCTTCAATTTTTCCAAAATCTTTACTTCTTTTTCATTATACCCGGACTTATGGTTGTCGAGGGCTACAAAATTACCAAGAACAAGACTCTATGGTGTAACAAACCGTGTACTGGAAGAAATCGATTTGCTATAAAAGTTGAAGACGGCGTTATCGAAAAGGTGTCTGCTATAAGGAAAGAAATTAAGGGCTGTACTTTTTCTGAAGTTCTCATGACAGCCACTTCGAAGGCTTTTTACGATCACTTTAAAAATGTAAGTTTTTTTGTTTATTTCAGATAAATTTAAGCTTTTAAGTTGAAATATGAGCTGTTTTATATATAGTAACCCATTCAAACTATTTTATTTTTATTTATTTATCGTATGACATTTGACCCATTTACATTTAAATTTACATGTTTACAAACGAACATCTTGTTTATACAGTCTATCGACTCTGAAGTCGCCATTAGGAAATCCTCTGACCTGCCTTGATAGGATCTTGTGGGACACTGTTCTGTAATGTGACAGATGGTTTGGAGTTGTCCGCAGTCACAGAGTGGAGATTGTCGTTTACCCCATTTATGCATCATATAACCGCATCTGCCGTGTTAGGTTCTGATTTGGTTCAGCATAGTCCATGTGTTGCATGGTAAGTCAAAATTTGGTGGTTTTTGTGTCATTCAGGGTAAGCTGCTATTTTGTTGTTCCATCCATTCTCGAGTCCAAGTGGTCGTTAAGTTGAACTCATTTTCTACACCAATTTGTGCTGTTTTTATTGGCGGTGTTTGGAGCGTAAATGGTTACCATTGGCAGCATCTATATCTTGATGAATTGGCAGGATCTCGTTACTAACGTAGCGTAGGGGTGGATTTGATAACACCAGCAATCATTATCATTATATTGTTTAATTGGGCATCTACTTTATGTATATGAGGCCAGGCTGAAGAACAGTATTTCGCGGTTGAGAAGACAAGGCCCAGGGCAGATGATCGCAAGCTGGAAGCCGATGCTCCCCATGTTGTGCCGCACAGCTTCTGGATGTTGTTATTTCTGGATTTATATTTTTCCGCTGTTTTTGACATATGTTCCCTGAAAGATAGGGTTCTGTCAAGAATCACCCCAAGGTACTTTGGTGTTTTATTATGGGCAAGTGTGGGTGTTTTCAAATTGGATGTTGAGTGTTATTCCTGCAAGCTTGTTATTTAGATGAAAAGTGAAAACCTCTGTTTTGGTAGCGTTTGGTTGAAGCCTCCATTTATGGAAATACTTTCCCACTGTGTGTGAGTCTGCCGTGAGGATTTCTTCTGTTTGTTCAAATGACTTCCTTGTTGCAAGGACCCAGTCATCAGCGTAACCAAAACTTCCTTGATCTGGTTTCTGGTATATCAGCGATGTACAGGCTAAAGAGAAGAGGAGCTAGGCAGATCTCTGAGGCAGTCCATTCTTCAGTTTTATTGGGGTGCTGATGAATGCGGCTGCAGTTTTAAGTTTTCTCTGGTACCCTGCCTCAATAAATGTGGTAAGTGAAAGAACCTGATCTGCGCAGCTTCTTTTCGGTGGAAAACCTGCCTGATCCAGTCCTTCATTGGAATATGGCAATAGTTACTTAAAAACAAAACCCAAAAAGTTTGAAGCTGTTACAAAATCTGTCAAACTAGTTATTTCAGGCAATATTGAATTCTATACTATGTTAATTAGTTTTGATGCAGAAAATGTGACTACCGCTAACAGTTATGACACTGGGAATAAAGAAGAACATATCGAAAGTTGTGATATATATATATATATATATATATATATATATATTATAAGATAAAATCTTTTAGCAAAAGCTGCTAAAAGTTGTGATATATATATATATATATATATATATATATATATATATATATATATATATATATTATAAGATAAAATCTTTTAGCAAAAGCTGCTAAAAGTTTAGTAAACTGCAGTGGTAAAGATTTAGGACACATTCGTTGGACTTTCCGAGTTTGAATTTGTCTTAGTCTGAGTGTCTGATAAAGCAGAGATGCCTTAATGAGTCATAAAACTGTATTGATACCAATTCGAGTAATATTCGGATGTATAATCCGGATAACAAGTAACCTAGAGCTCAATAACACTGAAAGAGTCTCCCCAAAGTGTAATACTTTAGGTACTGTAGACATTCGACGTGAATTTTCCCTTTAGAGGGAGTGAGAGCATATTCTCTAATAACAGTCCAGATTTAGCCATACGTGACTCACACTCCCTCTAAGGGGAAAATTTACTCATCCCAGATACCTACGGTATCAAAAGGATTGAGCTTTGGTGGGACTCTTTCCGTGTTATCGAGCCCTAAGTGACTTGGTATGTTGGAGTATCTCTCAAAGAGTTTTATACACATCTGGACGTCGCGAGGAGTAGGTATAGCTTTCTGCATGGTCTTCTAGTGATGTTCATTTAGACCCAGCTGTTTTATGTTCTCTAGAAGGTTTTTGGAAATAACACCAGTAGTAGATAGAATATTAGGTACTGTTGTCTCCTAATTTGTATTTCTAGATCTCTGTACTTGGCGATGTTTTCGTTGTATTTAACACGTAAATTATTGGTGATATATATTAAGTAAGAACAGTTATTAATAAGTTTTTTATTTTTAGAAAAAAATGCCCATTCCAATTAACATCGGAACATTCTTGGTGTCTATAACAGATTTGGATAATATGAATATAAATGGAATACCGCAAATGAAAAACCGATTCGGTATTGTTTCACTCCCATTACCCGTTGATGTCAAATCGGACTCTATGGTAACCAGATTAAACGCAGTAAAGGGATTTACCAGAAATCCAGAAATATCTGTGCAGTTTGCCGTAAGTAACTTAAATCAACTTACTTATATTTTGAGTTAAATAAGTGTTAGTTTTTTATCACGTCAGTTTTTTTTTAATAAGAAGTTATTTACAAATGGAATATTTCATTCTCACTACTATTGGCGTCCAAATGCAACATTTATCATCAAAATACGAACTTACCCTTTTCGTTTTTTCAGAAAATTGTACTCTGCGATTTTAAGTATTGTGATATTATCATTTCACCTTTTAAAGTGTCGTGAACATTGAAAAAAAATGTTTTATTTCGACAAAACGAATTTATAATAACATTTTCTCCATTTTAGATCATGTATTTTCTTTATACACACTTATTGGGATATTTTCCACCCAGCATACGAATGATTTTACTGCCAGTGAAATGTTCAACTCTAGTAATCAGCAATCTTCCACCTATTGAAAAAATTAGTCTGTTCGGTGGCATTGACTTAGATGATATGTACTTCTTTACACTAAATAGGGATGAACTGGGTAAGTTACATTAGAGATAGAATCCAGAGCAATATAAATTATCTTCTATTTATATGAAGTAACACAATACAAAGTAAACTTTAGCGTCTTCTTCCTTCTTTGGGTGCCGTGTCTAATAGAGATTCATCTCTGATCTGTGTTTTTCTTATTAAGGTTAAGTTAATTTCTGGGTATTATCCTCTCCAATCCTTGAGGTTATGCAGCCAAGTTATTTCCAGTCTAGCCAACCAGTAACACGCTTTCCTTCTATTATTCTATAATATTTTTATTAGTCCTAATTTATTGTCTTTATTCTAATTTATTGTCTTTATTCCAATTTATTAAAACTCACGATATTTTATCAAAAGTCTTTATTTTATACTAATTTATTTTACACTTAATAATTACAAATAATTTATTTGCGTTCGATACAATTTTAACCCGATATCCGCGGTCTTCTTGTTGAATGACTGCTCAATGAAAATCTTCCGTTATTTATATGAAATTAGGTATTAAAATGGAACATCGTCGAAGGTTCGATGGCATTCTCGACTAGACAGAGCAGCGATGGTATGTTTTTCATCGGCTCGTCCCCAGAAAGTTCGATTGTTGTTTTTTTTTTAGCGAAGGGACCCAAAGGGTGTCAGGTAGATTTTTGACCTAGAAATTACGAGAATCAATAAAAAGAATTAGTCATAAAATATTTACAGTTCTATACGCCATAACATTTAAAATCGTAACATTGCCCCACTCTTAAAAGATGGTTCTTCCTGGAACCTTGTCGGGACTGGAACTGGAACGACATGCTGATATCGGCAACTGGACCCTCTTTTACAACTTCCAGTTATATAAAAATGACAAGGGACGGTTTTCTCTCCGCACCAGTAACTATGCGGATTGCAACAGACTAACTCCTGGACTTCGGTGTCTTTAAAGATCTCTTCCACCATATTTCGGATAACCCTCCAATGTAACTGGCGGCACTCCAACTTTGGCATGGCTAACTTTTGCACGTCGAACTCTAGTACGTGCTGTCTCAATTGAAGTAAGGCTTCCCATACATCTCGGTAGGTAGGTTGGTCACGGGCAGTGTCTTTTGTAACCAGGTAGAAAAGGTAACGTGATGCATCTTGGAGTTTCAAGGTTTTACCGGGAGCTGGCATTTGGCATTGAAGTTCTGCAACTCGACCGAACTTCCTTCGAAAGACGGATGCCAACCCTGGTGCGTCTTTGATACTGGCCGGGATGGTAAGGGCCAGTGAGTAGTCATCGGGAAGCGCGAGTAGATCTTGCCTTTCTTCAGTGGTAACACCATGTCTTGCTTTACCGGTACCTCCATAGGCACCCATGAATTCCTCAAACGTGAGGTCAGACACATCTTGGACTTGGTTTACTTCCACTTCTTCATCTACGTCGTGGTCACCTTCGAAAGACGCCAGCCGGTTATGGTGTACTATCATCAGCTTTTTCCTCGGAATCTTGATTATTCGATAAATGACATCATTGATCTTTTCCATAATGAGGTATGGACCTTCCCAAAACTGCTGCAACTTGGGGGAACAACCTTTCCGCTTTTTGGGATTATAAAGCCAGACTTTGTCGTTCTTCTTAAAACATCCCTTTTCGGCTTGCGTATCGTATCGTTTCTTCATTCGGTCACTAGCGATCTGGAGATGGGAACGGACCAACTCGTGTACATCTTCCATTCTTCTTCGTAATTCGATCACATAATCTTCACGTGCTACATCTTCTCCAGATCGACACCCAAACTCTAGATCACAATAAGGTAGTCGCATCTCGCGTCCGAATAGGACTCTGGCTGGTGTCTGGCCTGTCGATTCGTTAACAGCAGATCTGTAGGCCATTGTGAAGAACGGAAGATATTGGTCCCAGTCTCGCTGATAATCGGACACCATCTTTGTCAAATACTTGATAACTGTCCTTTTCATTCGTTCTACCATACCATCCGATTGCGGAAGATCTTGTTTTCTTGAACAAGTTCTTGTTTTCTTCATACCTATTCTATCACATATCCCTTGGAATATATCGCTTTCGAAGTTCCTGCCTTGGTCACTATGGATCTCCAAAGGCACTCCAAATCGGCTGATATATTCTTGGATACCTACCCGCGGGTAGCGGGTAGGTACCCCTCTATGATCCCGATAGAGGGTAGACTTGCTTCAGGGAAATAGCGTCCCTGCCCACGCGAGCTCCTAGTTTTTCCTCCACTCCCCGCTTAGAGGAAAACAGGTCCAAACCCCAGTATTATCCTACCCTAAACCCCAAATTCCTTCCCTATATCCCCACCACACTCGCCAACCCGTCTTGCCAGCGTGGCGAGTTATGGCTAACTCACCCCAAATGAGTTTTAAAACAAGAGGATTTGGTCCCCAGGTGGGTGCTCAATCCCACACCTCTAAGGAGGTCAGCCTCATGGAATCTGGGGGAGGCAAAAACTCATTAAAACACCGAAAGCAACATATCTATATTGCTAGTTTCAATGCCAGAACCCTCAAATCACCCGAACGAATGGAAGAACTGGAAGAAGAACTAACTAAGATCAAGTGGGATGTCCTTGGTCTAAGCGAAACGAGACTGCCAGGAGAACAATGTACAATACTCCATTCAGGACACATGTTCTACCAATTCCATAATGAGTACAATACACATGTCGGCGGTGTAGCACTATTGATCCACAAAAGACTCAAACATCTGGTCACAAAATCTGCTGCAATCTCGGAGAGGGTCATTTACATCGTTCTTAAACTATCAGAAAGGTACAGCATCCAAATAATTCAAGTATACGCTCCCACTAGTCAATCCACAGATGAAGAAATAGAGAAATTCTATGAAGATATTTCTAAAGCAATGACAGAAAGAGCTCATTTTAAAATAGTCATGGGAGACTTTAACGCCAAAGTAGGGAAGCACAACACCGGCAACATACCAAATAGAGGAATATATGGGCTAGGAACTACAAATGAAAGAGGAGAACGGTTACTAACATACACACAGGAACAAAATCTATTTTGTATGAATACATTTTTTAGTAAACCAGATAATAGACGGTGGACCTGGATAAGCCCAGACGGGAAAACCAAAAACGAAATCGATTACATATTAGTCAACCAGAAACAGATAATAAAAGATGTAGCGGTGCTCAACAGATTCAGTCTGGGAAGTGATCATAGATTAGTAAGAGCAAAAATAATAATCGATAACAAATTAGAAAGAAACAAACTAATCTTGCAAAAACGAACCCTAACTACTAAAGAGCTTGGGCAAAACAGTACCAACTACCAGAAATATCTTGAGTCTAGTCTAGAGCCAATGGAACAGCTAAAAGAAAAAGACATAAATAATTTGGAAGAAACGATAAGAACGAGTATAATCTCTGCGATCAAAAAAACCCATACGATGCCGAAACCGAAAGATAATAAATTGAAGACAGAAACACAACAGATGATTAGGGACAGAAGCCGCATGGATCGAAATTCACCAGAATATAAGGAACTTAATAAGGCAATAAGAACAAGAATTAGACAAGACATCAGGGACAACAACACCGAAAAAATCGAAAACATTATAGAGAAAAACAAGAATATGAAAGTGTTAAAAACGCTAAATAGTAAAGGCCGACAACAAATACACCAAATAAAGGATAAAAATGGAATCATTAGAAACGACAAAAATCAGATAATAAACATTGTCGAAGATTATTATACAGAATTATACTCGTCCAGCGTAGCAAAACCTGAAACCCATGATATGGAACGAAGAATACTAAATGTAGGATCTGAAACACTACCAGAAATTACTACCGAGGAAGTTGTAAATGCCTTAAAGCAAATGAAAAATGGAAAATCTCCTGGAGACGACGGAATAACAAAAGAGATGATTACAGCTGGAGGTCAAACTACTATGGAGGCAGTTAAAATCTTACTGAACAAGTGCCTATTCGGGGGTGCTATTCCAACCTCTTGGCAAAACGCGCAGGTACTTTTACTACACAAGAAAGGAGACAAACACAAACTCGAAAATTACAGACCAATAAGCCTGTTACCACATCCATACAAACTGCTTACCAAAATAATTACCAACAGACTATCAAACAAATTTGATAGTTACCAGCCTGTTGAACAAGCGGGTTTCCGCAAAGGTTATAGTACAATAGAACACCTACAGACAATAAGGACACTTATTGAAAAATGTAACGAATACAATGAACCTCTTCATTTGGCATTTGTGGATTACAATAAGGCATTCGATTCCATAGAATTCTGGGCGGTATTAGACGGAATGAATAACGCAAGGATAGATTCCAGATATAGAATGCTCCTAAAATACATATACGACAATGCAACTATGCAAATAAATGTAGCAGAAGGCCTAACAACAAACAAAATAAGATCAGAAAGAGGTGTTCGACAGGGAGACACCATATCTCCAAAATTATTTACTCTTGCATTAGAAGATGTGTTCAAGAAGTTAAATTGGGAACAACTCGGAATTAAAATTGATGGCAGGTTTTTAAGCCATCTAAGATTTGCCGATGACATAGTACTCATAAGCAACAATACAGAGGAACTAATCTACATGCTGAAGGAGCTTAAACAAGAATCTGAAAAAATCGGTTTAAAAATGAATTTAAATAAAACAAAAGTAATGACAAATCAAAATATCACAATCGACTTAGATGGAAGTGAGATCGAAAGTGTCGAAGAGTATATATACCTAGGTCACACCATCAAACTAGGCAAACAGAATCAAACAGCAGAGATAACTAGAAGAATCCGAATGACTTGGGCAGCAGTAGGCAGACTCAGTGATGTGTTGAAGAACAAAAAGATACCAATAAATCTAAAGAAAAGGGTATTCAACAGTTGTATTCTACCGGTCATGACTTATGGAATGGAGACCATGACACTTACAGAGTTGTCAGCCAACAGATTAAGAACAACACAGAGGGCCATCGAACGAGCTATGTTGGGAGTATCACTGAGAGAACATATACGAAACGAGGACATACGAAGCAGGACGAAGGTGGAAGATGTAATTGGAAGGATTGCACAAATGAAATGGAACTGGGTAGGGCACGTGGCACGGCAAAACAACGACAGATGGACGAAAAACATTGTACATTGGAGACCACGCGAACACAGTCGGAGTAGAGGAAGACCACAAAAACGATGGATAGACGACATCAAAGCAAAAATGGGGAGAAACTGGCACCAAATAGCACAAAACAGGGAAGAGTGGAGAACTCATGGGGAGGCCTTTGTCCAGGAGTGGATGCAAACAGGCTGAAGAAGAAGAAGAAGAAGATTCTTGGATCAACTTATCTGCAACGGTGGCCGCCTTCTGGTCTGGAAGTGCGTAAATCTCGACCCATTTAGTGAAGTAATCCATTACTACCAACATGTACTTGCCTCCATTATCATTTTCTGGGAATGGCTCAGCAATGTCCAAAGCTATTCTTTCAAACGGGCTTCCAACATTATATTGTCTCATAGGAGCTCTCCTTTTTCGATAAGGCCCGTTACTCGTAGCACAAATAGTACATTTCTTACACCAGTCTTTTACATCGTCGGAACTGTTTATCCAATAAAACCGTTCCCGAATTCGCTGAAGGATCTTCTTCACACCAAAATGCCTTCCATTATTAGTGAGAGGAAGTTAGATCTTTCTTGTTTGAATATATGTTCAAGATAAGACGTTTTCGATAAGACTGAATGTTAATAACTGAATGTTTTGTATTCTCCCTGCTCAGTATTCGACTTACTGTTCGAGATAATGATCGGATAAAAATATCACGCCTATGAGTAGATGAAATACTCCCGATTATTATGTTTCACATCCAGTTATTCTGCTTCTCGTTGTTTATACTTGTCTTAAAATAAATAATTGAAGAGATTATTTTAAAAGTAGTGATAATAATTATTTTTTAGCCGTCGGTTTGGGCTTATTTACTTACGGAAACAAGGTACATCTAGGAGTAAAGGTAAACGAAGAATTTATACCGCTACAGGAAGATTGCCAAAAGCTGTTGGAAAATATTACTAAAGCTGTTGAAAAAATGAGGGTGGAAGTGACAATGAAAAGAATCTGAAAGAAAATAGTTTTTTTTTAACATAATTTTAAGTTTTGACATGTATATAGTATAGAAGTTTATATAAATACAATAAATGTCTGTGGTCGTTACTTTGTTTTTTAATTTATGTCCTACAAAAATATACAATTGTCTTTTATTGCTTAGTATTTAGTGTATTTACAAGATGAAATATTGTTTATCTTCTTAAAATACAACACTTTGGCAATGCAATAATAGATTAATAAACGTTTATATATTTTGCTAATCCAGAAAAGAATTTGGTCTACATTATTTAAATTGAATTTAGACTAATGTTTATAATAATTTATTAAGTAAAGTTAAAAAAACGTTTTTTGAAGTTTTCTGAAATTTCCAATCTAAAGTTGCTAAATTTTGTTGCAAATCCCGTCATGTCCATAAATAAAATCAATTTTATACCAAAACTGCAGCTCAAATATTTTGTATTTTGTATTCATCTAATAAAGCATTATACTAGAATACAAGTAAATCAAACAGAAAACTAAAAATATCACAGAAGTCCTCTGTAATAGTTTTTCACGTTTCCTGAAAACTTTAATAGATGTGACTTGGCGGATTTTGCTTCTATACCCATCATTTCTACTAAAATGGGCAGCCCACTGCGATCCATAAGATAATCAGTTTCTTAAAAATAATCTCAAACCGATTACCAATTTCACGATCAAAGTTCCATGTAGTGTGAGCTAGTTGGTACAGGAAAAAGGATCTTGATAAGATCTATAATTAATTTTATTTCCTTTTTATGTGTTGTAACTTTTTCGAAAATTAATCAGTTATAATCAGTGTACCACGAAACGCACTTCTAAAGCAGAGAATTATCTGATTTGGTAAGTAGAAATTTTCATTAAAGGCAGTAAAAAAACATATTTTGGATCACAAAAATTTTTATCGTTCTGTAAAAACATCTTTGAGATAAGAAGTCATCGACAGATCTAGCAGTAATAGCACTTCTGGCCATGACAACGCTTTGGGTACGACGCTTTTTGCTTATCAGACATATTTTCTATAAAATGTGTTGCTTAACGGTTTCCTAACATTATTTTTTATATTGTGAAATTTCAGGAATCAATCAGAGGTAATGATTTTCTTCATTTGCTTTAGAGTTATAATACCTAGAGTATATCAGTAGTTTTTTCAGATATTCTTCGACATCTTTCACAGATCCATTTTTAAGGCTGTTTTTGTTTTTCGCTTCCTTTTAGTCGTTCTCCCCGGTCTGAATCCATTATGATATTCTCCTAACATTCGTTCAGCGCATGATTTAATCTAGTGATAATTCGCATGTTTAATATGTTTGCTACAATTTTATATCTCGTATTTAATAGGTTTATTGCTTTGCAGTTCTCGCAATGCTCCCGATCTCCTTTTTACAGATAGGCACTATCCTACCTTTGTTTCAATTATCTGGTAGTGTGTTTTGTGTACATATTTGTTGTATTAGCTTGTTTGTTTCTTTGTGTAATTCTCTTCCTTCTTATGTTATTAGTTCCACTGCTATTTCATCTCCTCCTGCTGTTCTTCCGTTTTGGAGGTTTTAAATTTCATTTTGTACTTCATTATCATCATCTTTGGCTCTACAACTCTGGGTGGGTCTTGGCGCGTTCAAGAATTAGTCTCCATTTCCCCTATCTTTCGCCCTGGCTCTCCAATTTCTAACCCCTAGATTCCTCAAGTTATCTTCGACTTTAGTTTTGAATCTAGATCTTGACCTGCCTCTCTTCCTGGTTCCTACTGGCTCTTGATATAATATCTGTCTTTGGGGGTCTCCAGTGTCCATTCTTTCAAGGTCTCCTAGCCACCTTAGTCTATTCATTTTAATAGACCGGACAATGTTGCATTTTTTATGGGTTCTTCCACTTTAACTTTGACAACTATCACACATCCATTTTTAAGCCTGTTTTTGTTTTTCGTTTCCTTATAATCATTTTCTCCGGTCTGAATCCATTGTGATATTCTCCTAATATTCCTTCAGCGCATGATTTAGTCTAGTGGTAAAGTCGCATGTTTAGTATGTTTGCTACAATTTTATATCTCGTATTTAATAGGGTTATTGCTCTGTAATTCTCGCACTCCTCCCGATCCCTTTTTTTACAGATAGGCACTATAACACGTCTGTTCCAATCATCATCATCTTCTTCTTCTTCTCGTAGAACTACAACCCGGGTTGGGTCTTGGCTGACTGCACAACTTGCTTCCGTCTGGAACGGTCCTCCATAATATTTGGGTCAGTGGGTAGCCCCATTCTTCTCAGATCTGTCCATATATTATTTCTCCATAGCATTCGTGGACGTCCTAAGGGCCTTCTTCCTGTGGGGGCTTCCTTCTATATTAACTTGGCAAAACGGTTATTAAGGAGTCTATGGACATGGCCAGCCCATCTTAGACGTTGAGACTTAATCTCTTGGACTATGTCGCTCGCTCTATACATCTGCTTGACCTTAGCATTTGTTCTCATTCGGTATTGGTTGCTATTAATATCGTGATAAGGCCCAAATATTCTTCGGAGGATTATCATCTTAAAATATCTAAGTTTTCTTTCAGTTTCTTTGGTCAGGGTCCACGTCTCACACCCATACATGAGCACCGGTCTAGTCACGGATAGTTCTATTGAGTTCCCATCCTTTTTCAAGCAGCTGTTTACGAGTGAAGATCTGATCTATGGTCGATATATGTTTTCTCATGCCGACTTGGTATTCCCCCATGAAATTTTCTACAAACGGTGTCAGCCTACTTAATATAATGTTCGATAAGATTTTATATGCCGTATAGGAGATGCCTCTATAATTAGAGCACTTGGTTTTGTCTCCCTTTTATGGCTAGGGATTATAACACTCTCGTGCCATTTTGTTGGTATTTTCTCTTCGTTCCATATAATCGTTCCATATTTTCGAAACAACTCAAGCACAAATGACTTTATAATAAGAGAGATTTCTGCAATAATTTGTTGGCAACTATACTATTGGTCTTACTTCTTCATCGCAGTGTGTTTCCTCCATAGTAAATACCATTTTTTTGTAATATTCTTCCCATATTCTTCTGATCTATTTATCTTCAAATACGGTTTCTCCTTTTTGATTTTTTAGTCCTCTTGTTTTAATCCTGGGTTTATATTTTGTTGATCTAACTTTTTTGAAAAATCGTTTTATTTTATGATTTTTTTTTGTCTTTTTCAATATCCTCTAGCTTTCCATTTAACCAGTCATTTTTCTTCTTTTTATTTGTTGAGTTGTATAATTAAAATTTGTCATTAATCTCTTTTTCACTAAGATTGTTTATTTGTGCTAGATATATATTGACAAATTAACCATTTAATTACTATTTAACTGGGAATAAGCCACAATAAATAAAAAATACGTTTATTGACGTTTCAATTTCTACTTCGGAAATCGTTCTCAAAATACAAACAGTAAATTAAACAAATTTTGTTTTTTGTTACATAGTGAAAAATTCTTCTAATAATTTAATTTTATCTGACTCATTTATATTGACAATTAAATATAATAAAACGCATGGGATAATGAACATAGGGTTCAATGGAATAATTCAAATGTAGTCCTAAAAGAAACGGATGGTAAAAAAAGAAAAATCAAAGAAGCGGCTCTAATTATGCTAAATGAGGCCAATTGTGTCGCAAATTCCTCGGCAGAATGTAGTAGGATCTGGTTACCAATATTGAAAGAGGAAGTTATTAATAAGAAAATACCAGTATTAGTAAGTCAGTAACATATAGAGGATACATCATTTATGTTTTTTAAATAACGTAACATGTAAAATCAGAATTTTGATGTTTGTTGAAGGTAAACTAAATTCACGAACAAATACGTACAATGCCAGGATAGTATTATGACGTTTTTTTCCCGGTTTTTCCCTCATAATTTACTATGGAATCACTAACAGGAGAATTTTACTGTCATCATGTCATGTGTTTGTCTTTTTAAGGACGAATTACATGCTATGATTTTTTTCTGACGGATATTCTCAAGTTAAAGTTGATTTCATGTAATCGAATCTTATAAGTAAAGTCGTCCCAGGAGCGCAACTCAACAATATTGGCAATATCATTTTAAAGTCGTCTACTTTAAAATGCATAATGTATGTCTGAATTGTCAATATAAATGAGTCAGATAAAATTAAATTATTAGAAGAATTTTTCACTATGTAACAAAAAACAAAATTTGTTTAATTTACTATTTGTATTTTGAGAACGATTTCCGAAGTGGAAATTGAAACGTCAATAAACGTATTTTTATCTTTAATTGTGGCTTATTCCCAGTTAAATAGTAATTAATTTACAATGCCACAAGAAAATAGCTTCAGAACAATATTAAATTAACCATTTGTTTCATTATTACATTATTATAAAAAAACGTATCCTTTCTTAATCAAACAACTTTTTCTGGAGCACAAAGTTTTAATCACGTGGTGCATTGTCGATATCGAGATAACCATTATTCAACCAACTAATATTTCTAATCTTATCACATTACTGAGTTCAATGTATGACTGATACCCAGATTTAGTGTTACATAAATTTATTTCTTAATTTTTTGATCTGTTGATTTTTTAGTCAGTTTCATTTACCAAAGGACTTGGATCCATTTCATAGATTTCAATCGAATTTTTTTTAGATCTAAAGTGTTTTAATAGTTTTTCTGGAGCAAATTTTAAGACGTTATAAGATATAGATGATTAAATTTGTGTCATCTGTAATCATTGATGCTTAAGCTTTAGAAAGCTCGGCAGAAATTACAAATAATGACAATTTAGTCAAATGAAATCGTAGGCTTCCACGGCCAGAGTCAGAATTATAGTTTATTCGTCTTCCGGGTTTGGACCGTGTCATTTGTGAGTGACCCAAAAGTGGGTTCATCTCGACGTTTCGCTACAATTGTATGTAGCTTCTTCAGGAGAACAAAGAAAAGGAAAAAAGAAAATGAAAACAAAAGACCTTTTTGTTGTCTTTGTCTTTTGTTTTCTTTTTCTTTGTTCTCCTGAAGAAGCTACATACAATTGTAGCGAAACGTCGAGATGAACCCACTTTTGGGTCACTCACAAATGACACGGTCCAAACCCGGAAGACGAATAAACTATAATAATGACAATTTTGAATAGTTATGGAACTAATTCTTCATGGACAAAACCTCCACCTGCACTGTCACCTAAATTGAAATTTCCTTTTTTTTGTAGGTTGTGTATATAACTCAACACCATGGAACTGAGCTACTACATAGTATCTTGGATAACCTTTCCGTACTACGTAACGGCCCTATTATGGCTGTATCTGTTCGAGAAAGTAGTTTTCTGGTGGCTTACCATGCGGTACAGCACACGGCTGATGAGGTTAGGTTGTGCCGATATATACTGGGCGGTGGGGGAAAAGTACCACAATCTTATCAACGTCATAATGACGTTGAACATGAAAGATAAAAACGAAGATCTCGTTGCTGATATAAGAGAAGTTCTCAACAAGAAGATCTTGGCTGAACCGAATAAATACCAAAAGTTGTTATGTTCTTTAAATACATTTTTAGGTGAGTGATTTTGAATAATATAGGCTTAAGGTAATATAAATACTGCAATTGATATGTTTTGATGAATTGGAAAACAATTGTAAAGGATAATGAGGAAAGAGCAAATATTTTTCTGTGTAGAAAAATTCTTGCCTGATAAAAATTAACAATTTGGGACCAAAAATGTTGAATAACTCCACCATTTTTTTATACTTAGCAAATGATAAATTTGTGCTTAATTACATAATTTTTATCATCTTATTAGATAATAAAACATAGGTACATAGATGTGTTATATTTACTTGCTTTTTCGATTATTAGTCCAAGATACAGAATTTATTTTGGTGTTCCTCTTCTCTTCATAAATCTTGCTTCTTTGGGAGCTATTTCATAAATGGTAATTTGATTGGAAGATGCGCCCAGTTAGACTTCATGGAGAAAAGTTGTTATAGTATAAGATAATCAATCAGCTATCAAAAACGCTGAAATTATTTGTAATCAGGTGCAAAGTGCTATGAGAATGATTGGGGCAACTAAATCAACTAAACAACAAATTGTTTTGCCCTCCTATAGATTTCTGGACGCACTGGAGTGGAAGGAACCGAAATTGCCGTGTCAAATTAGCCAAACCAGGTGCAGAAACATCTTTTATGGAACCGAAATGCTTTTGCGGAATAACTAACAGCTTAATGCTGTAAAAAAACATTAAGAAAACTTACAAGGAACAGTCTAACAATCACATATACTTCTGGAAAACTAGAAGAAACATAGAGGATTTGGAGGTTGCAATGGTTTATACAAAAAAAAGACTACGTACTTTAACAGGAACATTTGTCTGTAAGCTCAATGATGAGATCTCTATACAAATTTTCCTTAACTGTTGCTTCCTAAGGAACTTCAGAGCAGGTTATATGTGAATACAAAATTTACCTAACATATAGCCTCTAGACGTACTAATCTTCCTGAGGAATAGACTGCCTAGAAGACAATCATTAATGAGATGACAGAGAAAGAAAGACAAATAGAACCGCAAGAAATCGTATAGGTTTTCTCTTAAAAATAATACTCCATTAAGTTGAATAAAAAACGATGAATTACATATTGAAATGTATTTTAGGTTACACCTTTTTGTTAAAAGAACAAGTAAAAGCGGACGATTTTATAACTGTCATAGATGTCGAGAAAACAAAATACAGCTCCATGAAAGAATTGATGTTCTCTTACAGTTATAAACCTCTACCACTAAACAATAAACTTCTGCTGGAAATTATCGTTATAAAAGCTCCAAAAGCGTGGAAAGAGAGCAATGACATGAAGGTAAGTGACTGATTTATGGTATTTCTTTCATCATTCTCATTCCCTTTTTTATTTATTTATAATACTATTAGTAGTCATAATTGACTAACCCAAGAGATTTAATCTGATATTTCTTACAAATAACCCTATAAACTGAGCACTTATTGAAAAAACTCACATTGGCATTACTTGGTTATTTCTAATTTTCACTCTTGCACTAAAACTAACACTATTAGACTAGATCAAACGGGTTTCTTGTCTTAAGACTTCTATTGATTAGCGAATTGTCAAGACGCTCCAACAACTTCATCGTTGATGTGAAGATGGAGTGTCTCTTGGTGCTTATTTGCAAAGTCATTCTTCTTTTATTGTATGTATCTGCACATATCTGTGAAGAAAATCGTTTCTATAAAACCATGGTGGATCCGTTATGCATCTCAGGACCTTGTTTTAAAACTTTTAGGTACCATAAATTACGTTATATGAATGTAGTAATGTAGAGCAAAGCTTGACTGCCTAAACCTTGTACGGAAGAAAAAATTTATTATAAAATTGTACACTGTAAAATAAATTTACCTTTATAACTTGTAGGAAAACCAAATTCCTTTGTTGATAAGAATTAACCACGTAATTGCTGATGGGCTCTCGGTGATGAACCTCTGTGCTCAAGCCCTTGGTGAAAATGACGTAAACCTAGAGAAGAGTCTGAAAAATATTCCAAAAAGTCCAGAATGGCAACGCCAACCTGCTTTCCAGTTCCTACAAAAAATATATCTGTTCTTCATGGTTCCAGGTAAGTAGAAATTACTATAGATTACAGTTTTGACCTATATTGCAGTAGCTACCTTATAAACTATGGTTTTATGATGTTCTTTTTTCATTTTTTGTTAGTTTTGAGGATCAGCGAGTAAACAACTATTTCCCTCCTATTCTTTTTATGTCGTCACTCTGAGGATGTTTTTTCTATTTTTTTATACATAAGATCCTTCAGCAATTCTTAGGCATGTCATTGTTATTGTTCTCATCTTCTTTTTCTTATTGCGCTGTCTCCTTTCGAAGGGTGGCGATCCAAATGGCATTGTAGCTTTGGAAACTACTCCACGAAAGATTTCTGTGGTTCAGCTGTCAAACCATCTTCTTAGGTCTTTCAGCCACGAGTTCTGGCGTCTTCCAACTGATCTTTTGCCCTGTACTTTACCTTCCAATATGATTTGGAGTAATTCATATCTTTCACCTCACAACACATGACCCAAGTATTATATTTTTCTCTCTTTAATTATGCTTAGTAATTTTTTTTGTTTACTCATAATGTGTTTTAGTATCGTTTCATATACAGGTAGTTTTGTAAGCGCAGGTCATCGTTCCTATGAAAAACATTTGTTATTATTATTACATGATCTCTTTTATTTCGTTTACAGGTTTTCTTTTAGTACGCTACTTCAAAGGCGAAGCCGTTTCGGTAGCAGGCCAAGAATACGAAGGTCCAATGTCGGCCTACAGGCAAAATGTTTCCTATAAAACGGAAAAACCTGGAGAAAACTTAGTGCAAAAAATTAAAGACTTGAAAAAACAAATCGGTAATGACACTAGTTTTAGTGAAATCATTTTGACTGCCGTGTCGTCCAGTTTGTACAACTATTACGAAAAGGTAAAGTAGACAGCTTTGATTTGAATCGATCAAATTTGTAGTTTATTTGTTTATATAATAACGTAAAGTGTCCAAAATCCATCCCATGCCCTAATTTCGTCCCCACTGTAACTTCTACGGACATTACTGCACCCTTGCGAGGTCTAAATTTTTTCAGATGCCACAACTCAAAGCGTAGAATCATGATCCCATGGTGAGAGCTATCACTGCTGTGAGAGATAAAGAAATGGGATATAAAATAGCTGCTAAGACCTTTGGTGTTCCGAGGGCTACTTTAAAAGATTATGTCAAATCTGATCGCACACCAGAGGAATGTGTGAAATCAAAACTACTTGGAAGGAATACAGTTTTTACAGCGGACCTCGAGAAAAGTCTTGTCGAACACTGTCTTCATATGAAACAGCATTATTATGGACTGACTATTTCTGACCTGAGGCGATTGGCTTACCAGCTAGCCATTTTAAACCAAGTACCTCATTCTTTCTCGAATTAATCAACGGCTGCTGGCAGAAAGTGGGTTAGACTGTTTTTCAAACGCCATCCAGAGCTTTCCCTCAGACGACCACAGAACTTGTCAATGGCTAGAGCTAAAGGATTCACAAAAGAAAATGTTGACAAGTATTTCTCTACCCTGAAGCCTGAACTCGAGAAAATAAACTTTGAATCCTCAAAAATATTTAATGTAGACAAAACAGGGATATCTGTAGTCCAGCACAAAGCTACTAGAGTAATAACCTTTAACGGGAAAAAGCAAGTGCATAAAACTTTCATCTGCTGAACGTGGATCTACAACCACAGTCATAACCTGTATGTCAGCAGTAGGCCAGTATATTCCACCCTTGTTAATATTTCCACTTAAAAGGTGGCAGGAAGAATTACTTGACGGAGCTCCTCTGGGTCAATAAAGGGATGCTCAGATTTAGGTTGGGTAACTGGTCCATTGTTTCTTAAGTGGTTTAAACACTTCAGTTCCATTGTGAACCCATCAAAAGAGAATCCTGTTGTGCTTATCCTTGATGATCACTATTTCATTATATGATATATTAGGAGTATCTATAGTTTGCCTTCCACCACACTTAACAGACAAGCTACAGCCTTTGGATGTATAGTTTATGTTTCCTTTGAAAACTAGATACGCATAAGCTATAGAACAATGGTTGGCTAGTAACCCAAATACAGTTGTTAGGAAACTGCAAATATCCAGTCTCTTTCATGGCAGTCATGAGTTTAGGAAGACTGGAATCCATCCCTTTAATTCTGATGTCTTTCAGGAGCATGATTTTATTGCTAGACAACTTGAAGAGCAAGAGGTGCCTGCCAATGGACGGGATAATGACAACCAGAATGTTCTAATCCCACCTCAAGCGGTCAGTCCACGAGACATCCAGAATTTTCCAGTTATCAAACCTTCCACATCTTCTAGAGCCGGTACTTCATTCTTGGTAACTGGATTTCCTCACAAAAATTCTTTCAAAATCTCTTTACAAAAGAAACAAATGGCAGAAGAGAAGAGGCAGTCAAAAGCTAAGAAACGTCTCACCATGGAAGATAAAGAAAATCCTGGCACATCATTGAACAAACGTGCCAAGAAGAAAACAATGAAGTGGGATTTAAATTTAAGTGACTTTAAGTGAGGATGAAACAAAAGTTCCACTGATATCAACCGATGATGAGGATAGTTCTGGTGATAAAGATGTACCATGTGCTATTTGTGGAAAACGTTTTTCACAAGACAATCGAGGAGAAAAAAGGATAAGGTGTTCGGAATGCTTCAAGTGGTACCATGAGATGTGACCTAACCAAGGTCAAAAATTTTGTTTATGATTTGTGTCTGGATTGTAAATAGATAGAACTTAGAAAGATTGAGATAAAGAACCGGTGTTCAGACGGTTACCATGAAGTTCCAAGAGTGCCATTAAGATGTCGGTAGAAAATTACAGTGACGTTTTGATGCAAAGCCGAACTGTATAAATACAAAGAAGTTAGATTTTTACGTTTTAGTCTAAAATAACTTTTTGTCAATTAGAATAAGTATAGAAGACTGTAATAAATTATAAAGTGTAAATAAATAAATTAATTAATTAATTAAATGTTGACACATTTTAATAATACATTAAAAGATTGTAAATAAAGATAGTAAAATCTTACTAAATTTTACCCTCTTCTGACAAAACTGATAGCTATGTTGCAGTGAGAATTTAAAAATATTGTTGGCAGTTTTTCCTAATGTACAAAACCTACGAACGACTAAAGTAGTGATTGAATACTCAAATCGGAATTTTATATAACTTTTTAGGCTTTATTTAAAATACCCAAATCTGTGAGAATGGCAGTTGTAGCTACCAGGGATCTAGAGCCAATGACTGTGAAAGGAGTACCGCAGCTACGTAACCAATTTGGACTAGTAAACTTCGAACTTCCTATTAAGATTGATTCTACATCTATATTAGCGAGACTAGAAGTTCTGAAAAAGAATACAAAGAAGTTGTACGATGATCCATCTGAACTTATAGTAAGTATTTTTTGTATAAAATGCACATTACTTGTTCTATCAAGTCATCGAAAAAACTGTAATAAGTTATAATATCAAACATTTCTTCAGTTTGACAGTTATTTACGCGCACATAACAATTTAAACGCAAATGTAATATAATCTAACCTAGTTATTTGTCAGTAATGTAATAAAACTCATAAACAAAATCATTTAAAGTTACTCATTTGCCTGTGAATGATCTATTTTAAGGATTTTTAAAAGTTATCAATAGACTTGGGCAAATATGCAAATAAAAAAGTATGAAATATGCGCATAAATATGCAGTATTTTATGCAAAAATATGTAGTGTTTTATGCAAAATATGCATAAATACTTACAATATTATAAATACATAACATATACAATTATTTTAACATATAAATATTATTTTGAATTGTGGTAACAATAGATTATCAAATGATGTTCAAAATTTTCTAATAAAAACTTATGGCTTCTATCTGAATACATATATTTGTAAATAGAAAACCTTCTTTCGACAACAACTGATGTAACTGGGCATCTTTTAAATTTACTATAATAGATGGTTCTAAATTAAGTGGTTCGGAAAATGTCCCAGCTAATACTTGAACCACTTCAGAAAGAACCTGGTGACGACTAAAACCTTATTAGCCGAGCTTGTTAAATTTGTTAATTATTTTAATTTTAAAATGCAAAAAGTAATTAGTGTCGTTACTTGGATTAAATCTTACAAAGAAACTGTTTATGGATATGAACAAAGTTTATTATTCAGTTTGTGGCAAAATTGTAAGTGCTAAATATTTAATACTGTTGTATAATTTGATATGTTATTTAAAATAGTTTAATGATTGCACAAGTTAGCGTTAATAAAACAGGAATAATATAATTACATTTTAATATAATACCAATAATATCTATTTATGTTTATTTTATTATAAAATAAATATTTTAACTATTGCTGAAATATCACTGACTGCCGTGCTATAATCGTGCAGTTACTTGAATGGAATTTCCTCTATTGATGCCTTTGTCTTAAAATTACAAATCAATCGGTTTTAACTGTTGTTATTTATATTAAAAAATCTATTACGGTTGCATGCGAAAAGAAATTTTAGATGGATCAACATGTCACAACTTCGTCACATTTAGCCAAAACAAAACTAAATCTGGAGAAAAACATCAAGCTTCGGTTTCTAAGTCTTTTTGGTCAAGTTCAAAACAAGGAAAGGAAACAAACAAGATACTTTTAATGAAGACTAGTGCCATGCATTAATCTGTTTACATATATTGCTTACAAGATTATCCAATGAAAACTTAACTTCTTGTTTTTTAATATATTGTAAACTAAATATTCCAAGTGAAAGACTCTTAAGAGAAATCATGTTAACTCGTTGTACTTGTCAGTAATAGATAATATAAAAGCTACTATTGGTGATAATTACAATGGAAGCATATTTTTCACTTTTTTTGCATATTTGCCTAAACCTAGTCATAAAAAAGTATTTCTACATATCATCTAGCTTTTTTTCTATGTGCGTCCATTCGTGTGGTCGTCGCAACAGTCTATAATGCTGCGGAGGCTACACGATCAAGTTTAATTGATTCTTACGTTGTTTTACAATTTTAGCTACGAAACTACATCACATTCAACCTCTTGAAAATAATGCCTCTACCACTAATCAAGAGAGTACTACCGATGAATGGTATAGCCACTGTTATCAGTAATTTGCCGGAATTCCCCAGGATTATAGTATTCAACGGCCATGAAGTAGAAGACGCCTACTTTTTTACTCTTCAAAGAGATCAGATGGGTAAGTAATCACTATGTTTGCATTATATTTGTAGAATTCATAAAACTAAAGAAGTAATTATAATAATAGATCGTACTCAAGCCAAGAAGAAATCCATGAGTTTTGGGGAAATCAACTTTCCACACCAGCTACTCTTAACATCAATGCTGGATGGATTGAAGATATGGCGCACAACTGCCAACACTATGTTACTGCTCCCTACGAACCTGTCACTACTGAAGAAGTTTCAAATATTGTCCAAATAGCTTCATAACTGGAAATCTCCTGGACCACATGGCGTTCAGCACATCTGTCTTAAGAAGTTCTGGAGTATTAATGAGTGATTATCGACATTAATTAATCACAGTAGTTCTAATCTGCAGGAAATACCATCTTTTTTAACCCAGAGAACAACTTATTTAATACTAAAAGATCAAAATAACACCCAAGATCCAGCCAAGTATCGCCCAACAACTTGTTTCCAATGTCAGATTGGAAGACAAAAATTCACCTCCAAATACCTGGTAAAAACAATATCAACCGGGGCCTATTTCAAGGAGACTCTTTGAGCCCACTGTGGTTTTGTCTAGCGCTGAACACCCTATCACAACTCCTGAACTCATCTGACACAGGTTTTAGCATCAAAAATAGCACCACTTTTATGGCAAAGCTTAATCATAGATTTATGGATGATTTAAGACTATTAGCTTTCACTCGAAGCCACCTGGATCAGATGCCGAAAACAGTAGAAAATTTCTCTTATGACATTAGTATGCACTTTGGTGTTGACAAGTGCCGTGCCTTAAATATAATCAAAGGAAAGGTTCAGCCCGGCGGATTCGATATGCAAAACGGCTAGAACATTGGGCGACATCCCAATGAGGTCAAACAAGACCATGTCGACAATATAGCGTCGAACTATTGGCCGACATCAGGAAAGATGTTCCCTGAAACAGAAGGTTATACCAACTAAAAATTACCTGAAATATATCGTCAAAGACCCTCAGGTCCAAAATGACAAATGCCGATATGGATGTCAAGCTCAAGAAACTATCCAACATCTTACTGGGGGTACCAGGAATTTGCTGCAACTGAATATAACAAAAGGCACGACTCAGAAGAAAAGATCCTTCATCAAGAGATAGCCATCAAACTGGGACTATCAATACATTCTAAAGCATAGACCAAACAGTGGCACATAATAGATAAAATATTATACTAGTTAATAAACTTAAGAGAGACAAACAACACTAATTTATGTTGCGATACCCAACAACAATAATCTTACTGTTAAACAGAACGAAAAGATCGCCAAGTACCGGGACCTGGAAATTCAAATATGAAGACACTGGAGAATGGAAAGACAGACAATGCCTATTATTCTCTCTACTACTGGAGTCATTCCGAAGCAGCTCATAGAAAACATAAAAAAGCTAGGTCTGAATATGAACATTTCTACAAGACCAAGCAGAGTTGTGTACTACTATCAATGTCCAGATATTTACGCAAATTGTTGGGAGATACTCCAGCGTACCAAGTCACCTAGGGCTCGATAACACAAATAGTCCCACCAGAGCTCAATAGCTTTGATACCTGAGGTATCTGGGATGAGTGAATTCTCCCCTTAGAGGGAGTGTGAGCCGTATGGCTAAATCTGAATAATAATATAATAAGTATGTATCAAAATTCAAGTAGGACAATTATGCAGAGCAGTTGAAAAAACTTCGTTGAAAACAACATTCTTCGAAAGACTGGAAATTTGTGTTTTGTAAACTATATTGCTATTTTTTATTGTAATAAGAAATTACACAACTTCTTAAGACAGTTTTAGATCTAATCACAACTCCGGGAGATAATACATACTGGTGTTACTGGAAATACTGACTGTATACAAACTTGTTCCAAAATTGTGAAGAAATACAATCATTGTGGACTGTATAATGTACATATAACCTATGTCTTTATTTAATGAAATCAACAAATGGACTGCTAAAACACTTACTCTGTCTCTAGAAGGCAATTCGTTTGTTGGAGCAAGCAAGACCGTTCTAGGCCTACAACATTACAAATAAATTGCAACGAATAAAATTATACCAACTGTTTTATTTGAGTTAATTTGAGGTGTACATAATAAAAAAAAAATAATTTTTTGATCATTTACTTAATAATCATTAGATTAGACATTTTTGATCCTGCGATAAGGATTATCTTAATTTTTATTTATTTTAGCTACTGGATTTGCCGTCATCAGTTACGACAGCCGAATTCATTTGGGCTTCGTCGGCGATGTAGCTTCTATACCCACCCAAGCTGACTGTGACGATATCGTTGACGAATTCTTTAACGCCATCCAAAGGATGCAGATAGAATCCGACAAGAAGAGACTAAATATATCTTAATCGTCAATTAACTATTTATTAATCTTTTAGTTGTAGGTATAAGTTACAGCTTTTTGAGAATTTTTTATTCTGGCACCATGTACAAATAGAACTAATTTCGTTAGTTTTTACGATTATGTCATTTTATATAGTATTTTTACGTCATATTTACGTTTAATTATAGTATGTCACATTTTGTAGTTGAAAATGACCAAATAAATCATAGATCAGAGATATACTAACTAGTGACTTTAATTTACTGAGAATTTAATTAATTCATATATGATTAATTACTGTTTAACTGGGAATAAGCCACAATTAAAGATAAAAATACGTTTATTGACGTTTTAATTTCCACTTCGGAAATCGTTCTCAAAATACAAACAGTAAATTAAACAAATTTTGTTTTTTGTTACATAGTGAAAAATTCTTCTAATAATTTAATTTTATCTGACTCATTTATATTGACAATTCAGACATACATTATGCATTTTAAAGTAGACGACTTTAAAATGATATTGCCAATATTGTTGAGTTGCGCTCCTGGGACGACTTTACTTATAAGATAGTTCATTCGATTACATGAAATCAACTTTAACTTGAGAATATCCGTCAGAAAAAAAATCATAGCATGTAATTCGTCTTTAAAAAGACAAACACATGACATGGTGACAGTAAAATTCTCCTGTTAGTGATTCCATAGTAAATTATGAGGGAAAAACCAGGAAAAAAAACCTCATAATACTATCCCGACATGGTAAGTATTTGTTCGTGCATTTAGTTTACCTTCAATAAACACCAAAATTCTGATTTTATATGTTTCGTTATTTAAAAAACATAAATGATGTATCCTCTATATGTTACTGACTTACTAATACTGGTATTTTCTTATTAATAACTTCCTCTTTCAATATTGGTAACCAGATCCTACTACATTCTGCCGAGGAATTTGCGACACAATTGGCCTCATTTAACATAATTAGAGCCGCTTCTTTGATTTTTCTTTTTTTACCATCCGTTTCTTTTAGGACTACATTTGAATTATTCCATTGAACCCTATGTTCATTATCCCATGCGTGTTTACATATTTGAGATCTATCAAATTCTCTATTTTTAATACTAGATTGATGTTGACTTATTCTAACATTTAATGGTCTTGATGTTTCACCTAAATAAAACTGATCGCGTTCACAAGATATTTTATAAATGCAATTCTTTGTCCTTTCTTGTTCATTGTTAGGTTTGGTTTTGGACAAAATAGATCTCAACGTGTTTGTTGTTTTGAATGTTGTTAAAATGTTGAATTTATTTCCTATCCTTTTAAGTTTTTCTGATAATCCTTTTATGTACGGTATTGTTATTTTCCTCGTATTATTCCTTGTATATGATGTATGATCTTGTTCAAAGTTGTTCTGTTCTATTCGATCGATTGTTGAAAATTCCTTATTTATAAACGATAAAGGATAATCATTTTTTAATAAAACAGATGTTAACAAATGTATCTCCTCCAAGAACGAATTTTCGTTAGAACAAGTAATTTTGGCTCTATCGTATAAAGATTTAATTATTCCCTTTTTTACATTAATATTGTAATTTATTGTAAAGGTAGCGTGTTATTATATTAGTTTTCCATGGTAAATGTTATTGTCTCTTCTTTATCGTTTATATCATTTAGGAATGTGTCCAACAACTCTGATCCATGAGGCCATATTGAGAATACATGATCTAAATACCTCCACCATACTGTGGGTTTTAAATTTTGTTTAGAAATGATATTTGTTTCAAAATCTTCCATAAATATATCGGCTAAGAATGGAGATAAACTAGAGCCCATTGCTAGACCAAAATTTTGTTTATAGAATTCATTATTTAGTTGAAAATATGTATTATCAGTACATAATGTTAATTATTAATGAACTTTTGTCACCATACCAAAGAAAGCAACCCCCAAAGTTTGTGAAAACTACAGACTAATCAAATTGATTTCCTCATCTTGGTAGTCGTACCAACATAGGCCTTCTAGTCCTGTCTTATGCTCACTAAATAAATGTCTGAAACACTAACTGTTTTAAACTTTTTTATTGTACATTTTTAAATATTTTGTTTTGGACACTTTTCTAGCCCAGACTATCCAAGCTTGATACAATAGGACGGTGGCTCATACGGAAGCGTGTGCTTCGGACTGACGTACAAAGGTCCAAACTTCTCTAAAGAATATTTTCGGTCGCTTCTCCAGCCAACAAAAGCTAAAAAAAAACAACGTTAATGTAAACCGTTGTTAAAACTCTTTTAAGATGATCAGACTCTTTTAAATCTTGTGGTGGGCGTCTGTATTGACGATAAGGATATAAGAATAATAAAAGAACTGTATTGGAATCAGCAATCAGCCGAAATTCGTATTAATAACGATCTTTTAGCAGATACTCTCGACATATTAATGGGAGTTCGACAAGGATATATACTATCTCCTTTTTGTTCAATATTTATGTTGAGATAATATTTCAAATAGCTTTACTAAGTGAGACACAAACTATACAGACAAACCATAAAAATACCTAATAACATTGAAATATCAGGTAAAGAGTTCGGGCTTCATATTAATATTGACAAGACAAAATTACTGGTGTTTAGTAGACAACAGCCCAATACTTCCGTCAACATTAATGGGCAGTGTCAAAACAACATATTTTTAAATTAAAAATCGTCTTCTTTATAGGCATTTGTGTATCCTATTGTGCTGTATATATACAGGATGACGGTATAAAAGTCGGAGATGCCACACTGGACAGAGTAGAGAAACTCGTGTATCTCGGCAGTAATATCAATGAGAGCTGGGATCCAACCGCAGAAATTAAAAGCCGAATAGAACAAGCCCGAGCTGCCTTTGTAAAAATGAGAAACGTACTTTGCAGTCACGATCTTAGCATTGACCTTAGAGTTCGTATGACATCTTGCTACATCTTTCCTGTCTTGCTGTATGGAGTGGAAGCGGGGACTCTAACTGAGGCTATGCTTAAACGCTTGACAGCCTTTGAGATGTGGGTATACAGACGACTACTCAAAATAAGCTGGGTCGACAGAGTTAGAAATGAGGAGGTCCTTAGACGGCTGAGCCAAACAACAAAACTGGTCAATATAATAAAGACACGCAAGTTGGAATACTTCGGTCACATTATGAGACACCCCGAAAAATATGATCTTTTACATCTGATCATTCAGGGAAAGATCCAAGGTAATTGTGGTCCTGGTAGAGGAAGAACATCATGGCTGAAAAATTTAAGGCAATGGTATGGAAAATCAACTACATCGTTATTTAGAGCTGCTGTCAATAAAGTCACGATAGCGAATATGGTAGCCAACATGATATCCAACGATCGATAACGGTCATGGAACTAGAAGAAGATTGTGCTGTATGGAGTAGAAACTTGATCACTCCAAGTGAAGGATCGTAGCCTTCGAACTGTGGACCTTTCATCAGCTGCTGCGGAATATGTGAACCTGGTAGGAAACAACGTTTTCTTTGCGAGTGAAAGTGTTTCTACACCGTAGGTAATTTCTGATAACGATCGAAGACTTTTTGCTTCATATTAATTGATAAGTTTCCTTTTTGAAATTTTTAGAATTTAAAATCCTATAACAGTCATCTGAAATACAAGAGGCTTGTTCAATTAATAATTACCACTAAAATTAAGGCACATATCCCATTGTTTCACCAACCGATGTGTAACCTGCTTAAATAATTCTTTTTCGGTATTTTGTATTTCTTCATTTGACTGAAAACGATTACCTTTTAATGCATTTTTCAGTGGACCAAAGATGTGAAAATGCAGAACAGATAGTAGGAAAATACCAGGCTAGTTTTAGAGGTGGTAATTTTGTTTCCATCGAGGTTGACGGTGTAACTTCGTCTGTTGTTTCTTGGTCACACACACAGGTTCTGATTTGGTCAGAATGACGACGTAAAATTTTACCATCATGGGTTTGAACTTTGTAGCTTAACGGTCCAGTGGTTTCAATTATTTTGGAAGGAAACCAGTTTTGACCACATGGAGCAAATGACCTTGCAAATACAGTCTCGTTTTCTTGAAAACATCTGGGTACTATTTTGCAAGAATCTTTCATCTCTTGCTTAGATAACATCTCTTGGGACTCAGCTGACGTAAAACAAATTCCGTTATCTAATACGACGAGATCTGGGATGCCATAAATGGTAAATAAACCACGTAATACATCTATAGTCACAACACTAGAGGTATTTGGAATGATTTTAACCTCCAACCACTTCGAGTACGAGTATATGATAATCAGAAACATTTTGCCTTAAATGGACTGGCAAAATCGAGGTGTATTCTTGTCCATGCAGCTCTGGTACACTCCCACGGATAGATTGGAGCCTTTTTTGGCATGTTTCTAAACTCCTGGCACTCGCTGCATGTATTTACTAGGTGTTCGATTTGTTTGTCGAAATTTGGCCACCAAACATACCAGCGTGCCAGTAACTTCATTTTTACGATTCCGGGTGTAATGAGTGTAGCAAATTCAGTATTGTTTTCCTCCCTCCAAGTGGAACGATTACTTTTGTACCCCATAACAGGCAGTCTTGATAACAGCTAATTTCATTTTTACGTAGTAGATAAGGAATATATTCGTCTGAAAATTGAATTTTCTCATCAGGCCAACCTTTCCAAGTCCACTGCAAAACTGTAGATAACACTGTGTCTTTCTTAGTCTCATTGGCAATGTCTTTGGCACATATTAGTTTTTCTGGGATGTTCTCAAGCATCAAAACCTCATCTGAGCTTGGTGGTTCTGGCACATGTACCTTTTGTAGCAATCTGCTAAGAGCATCTGCATTCGGAATTTTTGGACCTGATACATAACATAATTCATAATCAAATAAGAGCTTATCTAAGCATTCTGGGTGACAGTATCTCAGGAACACCTTTTTCAGATTAAAAATACCCAACAATGGTATATGGTCCGTTCTCATGCCTATTTTCCTGCCATATACATGTTCATGG